ACCACTTGATGCATGCGTTGTGGTGTTGAGCCAAAACAAAAATAATAGTCTGCTATGTCGTGGACACTATGTGAACCGAATGTTTGCGGGACACTTGACCATCACACCCATATCAGATTTTTGGACATCCCATTCCAAAACCACAGGCATTGATGTGGAGTTTATTCCCCGTTCGCGGCAGGAAACAGGAAAGGGCCATAGTCATGTCTGACCATGGGAGCACATTTAGTGAATCTCCAGACTCAGGGCTATTGCTGCACATATGGCACTTACAGTTAATCGGGGCCGGTCAAGTAGGGCAGGAATTTCGCACACCGATTTGTGGCAAAGGTGGCATCCTACGATTCAGTGTGCAGGCAATGTCATGTCTATGTAGATTGCATGGCTGTTTGCTAGTTATTATTCACCTGTGAGCAATGGGCGTGGCTAAAACCCCCTGAACAACTAATTAGTTGGTGTGCCCACATACCATTGGTCATACAGTGTAGTTGCAAATACATCTGTGTAAAACCTCTTGGTTTAACACTTATAATGTGGCTAACTGAGGTATGAACGTGGTTCTACCGGATTAGACGCCTACAAATGAATAAGAGGCTTCAGAAGAAAACGATGTGTCGGAATGCGTTTCACTTCTCCACACTGATTGGATGAACTGTGAAGAAGGGAACCTCCCCCAAAAAGGGTTTGATGAGATCCAACAGGCAGACAGAACAACCTGCGGACCAAACTAGCCAGAGAACATATCGACGGCGAAACCTATTAATTTTCTATCAACCAGTATTGATCTACTGATACTTTTGCTTTATAGATGTCCCTCTATGCCTGGTTGAGGCTACCCTGTATCGGACCAATAGAGTGGTCGCTGGGAAGCAACGTAAGTCTCCCTGGGGCCTGGTGCTGATTTAATTGATTCTTTCTACTGATGGTGGACGGCACGTGTTATCCCAGTGGAGTAAGCGCTTCTCTTTTAACGAGTCAAATAGCTATCGACGAGCTCCCTTGGATCTCCCTAAGCACTCAGTCCCGGTCCCGAAAGGTCTTTATCTCTAGCCATTCTTCACACACAAACACACATTCACAGTCCAGCACACAAATGTGCGTCCCAAATCCCACCAAATCTCCAAGTAGACTATCAAAGGAATGAGGTGTCGTTTGGGATTCATAAACAGTCTCCCTTTCCTCCATTATCCATTCCACTGGGAAGTGGAAAAGCTCATTTCGATTTTTTTTTTCCCTTCTTCATTTTTCTATACTCTCTTTTTTCTCCCGCTATATCGCTTTCTCCCAACAATCCATTGTTTGTGGAATTAGGACATAGTACATTTGTTGACTTGCATAGTACATTTGTTGCAAGGAAGTACACGGTGTTGTTTAAAAAAGGACCAATAAAGGCATTTTTTTATCAAATAGTCGTTTTTTCCCCAAGCGGTACACATGTTTCTTGTTTTCCTGTTCTTAGTTTATGTATCTTAGACTTCCAGTGTACAGAACCTCTGCCTACCACAACCGGGTCCCGCCTGCTGCCCGAATGTACTATGTCTTCTGTTTGTTGGAATATACGTTACCTGTGCTTCACTCCTGCCTCGTAAGTCTGCTTTTGGGTTTCTTCCCTGAGCCTTTACTGAAAGAACTGTCCATAAAAGAGGTCATCCAGCTCCAAAATGCTGTGTCTTTCCTTCAAGCCGCAATAGCAAGATGTATGAGGGAAGAACTTCAATCCATGGCCGATCCTCAAGACGTTTTTTTCAGTGCTCTGCTGGCCCAGTTTCAGGAGCTATCTGCAAGCGGCAGACTACGTCAGAGTCGGAGGTCTATCTTCTCCATTGTGCTACCCTGGAGACCCAGGAACCTGCCGTTCTGTCCTATCACATTGCTCCCTCATCTTCAAGCTGCAGCCATCCTGGTTTCCCAGAGATCGCTTCAGGATAGTGTATCTCATCATGCTGATGTCTGGAAGGGCCCCGGGCCGGACCACAATGGAAGCGACAATCCCATATCTGCCTCAGGTGTTCGATTCCTCAGTGTCCAGCAGACGACCAGGAACCTTCTCCAACTTTGCCAGGACTATAGTTGTGTGGCAGCCTAAGCGTTTGAGTTTCACACCCCAGCCATGGAAAGCTTAAAAAACACAGGCTAACAGACATCTTCATGAACAAGCTTGCAGTCCAATATCTTTCCCCAACCTCAAATCTCTCGTTGCCTTAACTGTCTGGATTTGAAGGTTGCCTACGTCATAACAGCATGACATCTCCTAAACCGTTGACATTATGCTTTCCCTGCGGTATCTGCATGACGTCCCAGAATCCCCTGCTTCAAGCTTCGAAATTCACCGAAATCACTGAGCCCCTCCGTGAATGGCCAAGAACTGTTAAGCCATCACTACCAGAACCAAACCAGAACCAATTGGTAGGTTGTGATAGAACCCTACAGAGTGGCTGCATAGGACCCTATGCTGGTTTGGCAAGACCCCCTGGTTTCTTTATATACTCCTCCCATGACCAGCAGCTGGGGATTCCCAATTTCTCTTTGCTCCCATGGCGTCCTTTGTCCCGGCTGAATATCTGGATCTTTGAGAGGTTTTCGGCAAGTCCCGGGCCACTTCCCTCCGCCATGTCCTTACGACTATGCTATCGACCTCCTCCCTGAAACCTCACCCCACAGGGTGATTCTACTTCATCTGGAAGGAAGACCAAAGCAATGGAGGCATGTGCTGAGAGCTCTCTTGCACAGGGAATTATTCCGACATCTGAAAATCCTGCTGGGTAAGGATTCTTCTTTGTGGAGAAGGATACAGCTGTGTGCCCTTGCTGCTAACAAACGGCAGCGCTATCAAAAACCTCTACTCGCTTCCTCAAATCACCTGCAGGGGGCAGTGGCCACGTTCTCCAAGCGTGACTCGGGGCTTTTATCTGAGCCTTGACACTGTTTTGTTTCTAATACGTGTTCGACTTTAATGAATCGCATGCCGTATGTCAGGTCATTAACTTCAGGCACTCTGTAATGCTGTACTTATCCATCCACAAAGCCACATGATCATCGGCCTACCAGTAAAAAGGGGCACATTCGTTCACACTAAGGCCTAATGATTCTGTATTCCCCAGGTGCCGGGGAGTTGTAAATTGTGTGTTTTATGCATGCCTACACTAATGTGAATTATTGTAAAATAGTATTATATTTGCATATAGGCTTACGGGCTGTTGGGAAATTAGCATTTTTACAACAGTTCAAATTAAATCCCACTCCTTAATTTGCCTGCATGGTAATTTAATTTAAATTGAGTCCAATCTACTACCCACTGTACCGATATTCATACCTTCACAGGGCCATTACACTTCCGCATTACACATCTATATATGCACATCTATGTACACACGTCTACATGGACACATCTACATGCGCACGTCTACATGCGCACGTCTACTTGCGCACGTCTACATACACACGTCTACATACACACGTCTACATACGCGCGTCTACATACGCACGTCTACATACAGACGTCTACATACGCGCGTCTACATACGCGCGTCTACATACGCGCGTCTACATACGCGCGTCTACATACGCACGTCTACATACAGACGTCTACATACGCACATCTACATACAGACATCTACATACGCGAGTCTACATGCGCCCGTCTACATACGCACGTCTACATACAGACGTCTACATACGCACGTCTACATACAGACATCTACATACGCGCATCTACATACGCACGTCTACATACGCACGTCTACATACGCACGTCTACATATGCACGTCTACATACGCACGTCTACATACACATGTCTACATACCCACATCTAAGTTCAAAGGAAATGTCACGATCACCTATGCTCACTGAAGAGCAACATTTGACAGGAGGTATTGTTACTGACTTTAACCAAACATAACAATCCAATTCTAAAATGTTATCATGGGCTTTGTCAAATTGAAAGGCCCTCCCAGTCTGCCATTTCACAATATTTGACTAGCTACAAATTGTTGTAATTTGTGCGTCAGTATAGGCCACCGTGCTCTCTGACCCTCCCACACACATTCAACGGCAAGAAAGTGAAGTTTTACTTACGATACAGATGTCTTGTCATATCCACATACTGTAATTAAGTGCACTTATGTCTCCAAGACACATCGATTGCATAATGGAGATACAATTTAGCCTCTCTGAGACATTTAAATACAAGATAAAAGGTGTTGACAAAATTAAAAAAACAATACCTAGACAGTACACAAGATTAACTTTTTCAAATACAATCAGATTGATTGTCTAAACGGATATTACTTCGGACAGGTTTTTACCTCGTGTTTGGCAAATTTGCCACGAAACAAAATAAAACTATCCTTATGTTTTATCATTAACACTAAATGGCATTTTAAGTTTAGAGGATTTTACCTCAGGTTTGACATATCTCTACCAAAAATGTATAACCCTTTTTTTATCTGGATGTTCCACACGAACACGAACGCCCAGGTTTCCGCGCACAACCCTCTAGCGTGTCTTTCGATGCCAAGATCGACTGGTGTGCCAAACACAACGGCAGTTGTTTTGAGTCTGCCGGGTTTAGGGTTGGCACAGCGTTCAGCATGCCCACAGATGAAGCAAATGAGTCCTTCTTATGCCAATACCCTGTAACAATGGGCTGTCGCATGTCCAACCCAACAATGGGACCATGGCAGCGCAGTTCAGGTCGTTTGGGATTATTGGATTCAATATGTTTCTTAGATCGGTGGGATTTGAGGGCGGGGTACGTCGATGGTCAATGACCGGTTTTAGTCTTTTTTATTCTATTATATGCAATCACATTTAGTATTTTGGCGTCTTCTAAATTACACATTGTCTTTTCATCGGGAACAGGTCTAGATTTCCTCCGGAGTTGTCAAACCTTGGGTTACCATGGCTCATCGTCGTTCCAAATAGAAAGGCGGGAACATGATTTTTTATTTAAGCTTTATTTAACCAGTTAGACCGACTGAGAACAAATTCTCATTTGCAACTGCGAGCTGGGAATTGAACCCAGGACATCATGAACACCATGCATGCACACTACTACTGAGCTACTAACTACCAACTGAGCTAGCAACTACTCCCATTTGGAGCTATGTTGGGAGCGTTTCAAGGAAATGCAGGCATTATGGAATTGTTCAGTCATGTCCTAAGATCAACGTCACCAGGTTTTATAGATACAGTCAGGTTTTCACAACATAGACATTATTTAAAAAAAACTTCATTGTTTTAATATCCATGTTCCTTTGAGCAAGAAGTGTCAACTATATAATACAAGCAGAAATATATTATACTGCCTAAATTACGCCGAGAATTCCCAGCTATTGTAAACACTTAATAACTTCTGCATAGTGTCACAGCTTACAGTCAAGCATTTTTAGTGCAGGCTCAAGAAAGGAACGAGCCATTTATTAGTTCATTTCATGCAATTGAAATTAATGTCCATGACACGACATTCAAACAATATTTAATCTATTCTATATATTTCTTTAATATTTATAGTTTGCGTGACTGCACAAATTACCAAAATGTGTGGCTGCTCTGACTATAATAAAGTAACATCATTAAAAGCAACCTGGCCTTGATTGTAACAATAAGTTGGGCAATAAAACAATCAACATGTGATTCTAATTAAAAAAATAGCCAGTTTTCTCATATTTGTATTGTTGTTGAGAATAATGTATGCTTTATTTGACATATGTCAATGATTGTCTCTTGTTCTCGGTCGAAAGTCAGCTGCTGCGATACTTCGGCCTATTAAAGGTTTTGTCCAACCTGCACACGGTGAGAAATAAATGGTGTAGATGGTCAATACACAGAGCCATCAGAGAGAGAGTTGGGAGGACAAGGACACACCAGATTGGATCAGTCTCTTCTGCCTCTGGCACGATGTATGGCCGTGTTTGAGAAAGTCCCCGGCTGTGTCTAAAAGTCCCGAAATACCTTCCATTCTTCAAGCCCGCGCGTATGAGTAAGCAATTACATTGCTAGAAGCCGTCCAAATAGCCCAAGGCCTGGGTTCCCGACAACCGGGCAGAAGAGCTTTAGCTTGACATGAAAAATACATAGTAGCTCAGGATGGGTGATCACTTAACGAGACACAGCCAAGTCTATGAGCCGGGAGTGCATTTCAGAATCCCCCAAGCGTCTTTGTGGAAAATGAGCTGCACCCGCGATACACTTTGTCCCGAACTGACATTTTCTCTGTGGCCGACAGAACTGTGTGAGAACAGGGCACCTTTCTAATTACGGTAGCAAGTTGACATCGCCATAGTTCGTATGCAATATGTATCTCTCCTTTCTTCCTATATTTCTCTATTATTTATTTATTTTGGTCAATTGTATTTTTTAAACCTCACTAGGTATTAACTAATATCCGTGCCTACTCTTGTCTGTGTGAACATACAATATAAGGTTGGTCGGGGTATGTCTTATAATTGGGAATGTTTCTGTTGTGTTACTAGTGTTTCTAGTTAACTCAACATTACGCCAGTCACAGGGGTTTTGGTGAAGGGGTAGGCTTCTACAAACATTACGTCATTGCCGTTCGAATGCTTCGGTGTGTACGTCTTTGGTGTTTGTGTGTCTTACTTGATCGATGGCACCATAACCATTGTCATTTCTGCGACTGTGTTCAATCTTGGTCTGGTGCCTGTTTTCTGCTCTAAGTCAGGGGTCCTTAAAGCACGGGGAGGCGCACTCCAGCACTCCCAACCCAGCGAATGTGCATCTCAGCTTTATGTACAGGCCAAAGGGAGGTTAATGGTATAGAGGCTTCCCAGTGAAGTGCTCTCAGCCTCTCTGTGTTCCCAGGCCATAAGGCCACATCTATGCCGTTTGACTTATTTTTATCCGGCCTCGAAATCTGTAGCGCTAATATCCCGCAAACCCTCCGACCGCCCCAACCCGGCCTCCTGGTGTTAGTGTGTTTTCGTGTGTGTTCTCTCTGCCACAGCCTTATCTATCCACGTTGCCTCATATTCCACCTTTTACTCAAATTATTTTCTCTCTTTGCTTCCCGTCTTTCTTTCTTTTATTTTCGCCCTCTCCCAATAACGCACAAACTCACAGGCTCACTCAATCTCTACGCAGTTTGAGCATTGCTCGAGGCGTTTGGTCCGAGCTGGCGCAACCGAGGGTTACGTTGCTGTTTGGGGACTTTCGACTCTTCCACGTTGTCTACTGCGTGCAACAGCCAATAAGGGGGACGTATTCCAGCGCGGGGCGAACACACCCGCACAACGCGGTTTAATTCGCCTCGCTGATGAGACGTTTATTCGGCATCGATCAAAGCCTAACTAAGAGCACCCCAGTCTCTGAAATGTTCCAGGGCCTTCCTTCGAGGATGACATCTGTTTTATTCATCATCCTTAGCCGGCTAATTAATTGTCCACTCCTCACCATCGCTCATGCCTACCAGGAAAATGTAATATTAAGTGTAGGTAATTAGTGCGGGAAAAGGGTTTGGGTGATGACACGGCGGTGGAGTTAATCTGCACTCTCTATTGGACGAGACATGATCTCCTCTATATCTGTGTCTCTCTCTCTGTCTCTCTCCCTCTGCTGTGTTTAGATACCTCCATATAAATGGGAGGCCATCAGTGATGATGTCTCAAGTCTTGTGCAGGAAAGGAGAGAGGTGGAGGGAGGTGCTGGGGGTCCATAGACAGAGCCCTCTGTGCTGCTTTCTGCTCTCTTCAATTCGCCCGCTCCCTCTCTCTGCGTTCATCGTCCGCACGATGATCAGTCGCCTCATTATGACGGATCTCTGTAATTGGCGCGTCTGCCCTTATATTCCTCAAATTATTCAGGGAGGTCCGGAAGAAGGAAAGGCAGCCGTTTTGCTATTAGATCCACACAGAGATGCTGCGCGGACGTTGACGCTGGGGAATTACTGCCGTTTGCCCAGCTGTCACCCACTAAGACAGGCAGCTTGTGTTCTTCGGTTTGTTTGCGGGTGTTAAATCAGTCCAAACACTTGAGCGTTTCGGGGAATAAAGTCTTGGCATTGCTTTTTTGTACAGTTTAGAATTCTATTCATATTTCTCTGCCAGGAGATATTTTTCCTGTGCTAATTGCTCATGTTGAGAGCTTCTCTGACATCCAATCAGTTGTTTCAAAATTGATATATCATTATGAGATGTTCTGTGAGTGTCTGAAACACCGACGAAACCTCTGTCATGGCTCAGTGTTGTTTCAAAGAAACACACCTCAGCCGGACCGAGCTGGCCGACTTCAGAGAAAGAACGAGGAACCGCCAGAGACTCCTGTTAAACAGGGCCACACTGTTAGTGGAATCCTACACCATCTACCCAGAGAGAGAGAGCTGCGGTTTGGCTCTAATAAATAGCCGGAGTGAGCGAGCGGAACAGCGAAACAGGGAACGAGTGAACGAGAGATAACCTGGGCCTTTGATTGATGGGCTGTGGTGGAGTAGCCGCCGGCTGAACCGGGGGTTTTTGAATGCAGGCATGGGAGACCGTAACGTGCGTAGAGCACCTCCACCGCAGCCTGGAGACGCATGGTAATAGGAGAGCCTGTTCCAGAACAGTCCGCTGGGTCCACACGCATACATGCGAGGTTGGGATAACGCGTATTCGGCGGTGCTCACGCCCACTCGTCCATAAGTAATCAACCAGAAATTATGCACAAACATTTCCGTAGAGATACTGTACACATACACACACACGCACACACATGTGGTAGGACAAACACACACAGGAGTGCACATCAATTCCCATGAAATATACGGTGAGCTACGCGCATTAAACATCTCCACAGCATTCTACTACTGTGCGATGATCCAGAGGCCAGAGTGAGATCACACAACCCATTTGTCCAGTGGCCCCCCTCAGCCGATGGAGGGACGACAGACACACGAACCCCGGGTGATCCAGGAGTCTGTGTAATGTATGCTAATGGGTTGGAGAAAACCCCTGGAGCAGCAGCAGAGCAGCAGTGGCTGGCTGGCTGGCTGGCTGGCAGTCAGAGCCAGGCAGTCGGAGCCAGGCAGGCAAAGCCAGGCAGCCCCTATGTAAGCCCCTGGGGAGAAGGATGCTGAATGAGTCAGATTACCCGCCCATCAGCCGGCGTGCCCCGAGCTGCCTGGAGTGGAGGAAGGCGCCCTCCCTCTCTCCGTACATCAGCCAGGGCGGGGGGGTGTGGGTGGAGGGAGAACTGGGAGTACTGGGAGAACCGGGGGTACCTGCCGTGGGGATGAGAGAGAGTATCAGAAAGAGGCAGGAGACGGTTATGCGTTAACTCAGTGGCACGAAGGACGGCGACAGACACAAACCCATCGGACATAATTGCTTTTAAAATGTCCGTCTTAGAGAAGAAAGAGCTAGTAATTCCTTGTGGGTTTGTTTGGGAGAGCGGTTGTTTTGCGTAAACACGGTCGTGTGATTGAGACAGGTACTGTCAAGCGATGTTTGCTGAGGACATATTTAATTTGTACGGGAAGTAATAATAAGATGTGATTGGTTTTGATGCGTCGACCAACTAGGACTCAATGTGGTCTTGAGAGATTCTCCACTTTATTTTGAATTGCTGACAATAGCATTGCAAACCTAATCGTACAGGTTCTAAATGATGGTTCTGTCTTGTTTGAAATATCTGTTCATTAATGTAAAAGCAATATGAACAATTAGGGGTTGTCAATTTGTGCGTGTGTGTGCTCCAGGTCTATGTGTTTTCGTGAGCGTTCTAACTCTCCACAAGTATGGTAAAACTTAAATAATTGGTCCCTGCAATGATTCGGGTTAGATCTTTACTTGGAAAAATAAGAGTTTTGGCGTTAGCAGTTAGATTTGGGTTTGGCATCATAGCTCATTTTAGTTTGGTTATGTCACGAGTGGTGAGTAAGTGTACTGCACTGTCTGGTTTCGGGTGCACCCTTTCCTGGTTTGTGTTGGTTACAGCTGTTGGGGATTTGCAATCACTGGGCTATAAAGGGGATTGCTAGATGTCACTCGTTGCGCTTCATTGTTACATGTCACATTGTTTGTAGAGGTGAGTGTTATATGTATTAGAAGACGTGCTGTTATTTGAATGTTTCGTAA